CATTGTGCTGGGCGCCAACCAGCATGCCTCAGGACAGAGCACGGGAGCATGCTGCGCACCCTGGCGCAGCGCCAGCTCGCCTCCAAACAGGCACTCTCACCACTGCACAGCCGCCCACGAGCGCCCGCAGCTGCACTGCTCAACACTGAAGCTCAGGAGCCTCCCCTTGTTGTCGCAGCTTTGTGCAGTGCAGCGTGCGAGCAGCGCAGCGCCAGGCCGACCCCTGGCACGCCCGGGCGGCTGTGGGACGGAGGCCCGCCGAGCGAGTGCGAGCCGCATCGGCGGCCATGTCTCCTGCCGCCGCGAGCGAGCGGCGCAAAGAGGCAGCGTCGCGCATGCTTTTCAAGACAAGACATCCGTCCTTTGACTCTGCCGGTCCCTTGTTCTCGCGGCTTCTTTCGCCTTTCGGCGCAACTCCGTCCTCCTCGCGGCGTATCCTGGCCCCTCGAGTCTATCGAGCTCCCCTCGCGCAAGGACCACATTTCTGACTCCCACTCCGATCATTTGCCTACAGGTCATGTTGTTGCTCAGGTCCACTCTCTCTTCGAACACTTGTAATGTGAAAGAAAGAAAAGAAAGAAAACAGACAACCCAAAGGGAGGGATGGGAGGACGGCACGCCGCCACCACACAGGGATTTTAAGGAGAGGTGTGTGGTGCGCTATCCGTCGCCCACCCTAGGGAGTCTGCCTCTTCCTATCTCTCTTCGCAGTCTCTCGCCGATTCTCGCTGCAACCTTCATGCCACCTCGCGGTCGTCCCACCCTCGTCGTTCTCTCCCTTGTCACTTCCTCCTCTGTCGCGTCGTTCTCTTCTGCCTCGTCCTGCGACGCCGCCGCCTGCCGGTCCCTTGTTCTCGCGGCTTCTTTCGCCTTTCGGCGCAACTCCGTCCTCCTCGCGGCGTATCCTGGCCCCTCGAGTCTATCGAGCTCCCCTCGCGCAAGGACCACATTTCTGACTCCCACTCCGATCATTTGCCTACAGGTCATGTTGTTGCTCAGGTCCACTTGTAATGTGAGAGAGTGCGCGGTGTTCCCCTCCTCTTTCTTTTGGCTTGTTGGTGGTGGCAGCGCCCGGCAGAGGCCTCTCCCGCCACCGCCCCGCCTCGCACCGCGACCGCCGTCGGTATGCTCACCGCCGTGGTCCTCGCCAACGGCAACGATGGCGACAACTTGTACCCTCTCACGGAGGACATGCCGCTCGCCGCGCTCCCCGTCGGCAACCGGCCGCTCCTCTCTTACCAGCTCGAGATGCTGC